CAGGAAAATTTATGCATCATTACGTGGAGCAAAAGCGCGGGTAGAGGAAAACGAATTTGATGTTTTTGGAAAATCTGTTGCTTGCCACTTAAAAAAACTTCCAGAATTCTCAGCTTTAGAATCAATGCAACACATACAGTCCTATTTGATTCAGAGACGTATGGAAAACACTCTACAAACAAGTAGACCAGATTCTGCAGCTTCTTCACTTACCGCTATGGAATATTCTAGCAACAATTCCTACAGTGATACGGATATTTTATCACAAGTAGTTGAACCCATAATTGGTAGTGAAAACGAATACAATAAGTTTGATACATGAGGGATGATTTTATCTTTATGTTACTAGAAATAAATAATATTTCATTTCGTACTTACTTTTATATAATCCTTAAGAACGTTGTAGATAGCATTACACACATCAGGTAAGAACTGTGATATTGTGCATTTTGGAACACGATATAGGTACTGTAAAGGTGCAAAAGAGTCTCCAGATGCTAAATATTTACCTTAAAGTTTCATGTAACTTTAGTTTCACAGATAAAGCGTCTCTCATTTGGGTATTTTGTTTGTAGTCGGTCAAATCTAGTTGGCCAGCTATGTAATTTTGTGAACGTTTTCAACATGGACTCCATTAAATTGAAGTTGTGCATCTAGATGTAAGTTATGACTAGAGACTAAAAATTTGATTGTCTTTGAGTTTATTTTAATGTCGTGTTTATGTTTTCTCTCGTACTTCGTGAATACGATCAAGCAGAATTTGGAGACGTTCAATATTTTCTGACAGAAGTATTGGATTATCCGCGTATGTAAATAAATTAAGTAGTGTCCCATTGATTTTTATTCCATATGGCTTACCTTTTTAAATAACTGGTCCGAGTACACATTGAACAATGTTCAATGAATCTACAGAGATTTCCAGCTCTGCATGAACCCCTCAAGAAGAAATAACAATCTACAGACTTTGAAGGAAACGATCACTTCGGGTTAATACAACACACAGTAATTCGTACACCGGTTTCTCAGAAGATCACTTCAAGCATGCTTCTGACAATCTTCCAATCCAGATTTTCTAGTACATGGCCTACCTTGGGCAAGGCCAAATTCTTGATTTCATAATTGCACACAATTTTCTTCAAATTGTGTGCAATTCATTCAAATTAGTTAGAGCACGCCATATATCCTCGTAGGTTGTTCTGTCTGTATACGACTTTCTGGTCATCATATACAGGAAAGATCGAGGACCATCTTCTAATCTCAGTACTCTTCCAACTTTAGGCTGCTGACTTCTAAATCGTCTAAACAACCGAATTTCTTATAAAATACGGATGAGATTCCCTTAGTCGTCTCAAGATCTTGGGCAACACAGTGGGCCAGAGAGACGTTATGCGGAACACTAAAAAGATCCTGCTGAACTTCTGTGGTCACACCGAATCTAGCACTCTTTCTCTCTGCGTAATTTGACATAAATTCACTAAAGCTTGGTTGCCGGTAATCTTTGATCTCATGTTGAAGGGTTCGGGCTTCTTCTGTTTCAGTTGAGCCAGCATAAGGAAAATATACTTTATCTAACTTACTTACCGTTGCACGTCATCTGCGTCATAGCCCGTGGGGTCAAATGATACCAACACAAAATGTGTGTTCTTTTTTAGAATCACTTCGCCGAGTATACTGGCATTAGATCCACTATAGTCATATTTTATTGTATACGCGCAGAAATAATATTTAAAGATTTCTATTAATGTTAACTTAAAGAAATGCACAATATGTTACATTGATTTTTATAAATGCATAATAAAGTGTTTTTATGAAGAACATTTGTTCGGAACATACTGTAACTGTAATCGAACGAAGGTGATATTTTGGCATACATTGGTAACAGTTATTTGAAAGTTGCAGTGTTGACACTTTTTGTACTTTAATATTTTGAATTTTAAAGTGAATACCTCTTGTTTTATATTTTTACCCATTTAATAAAATCTGTTCTTTTTAGAACAAAATTAGTGTGTTTGATTTCAATAACTTGTGTTTCTATTTATTTACATTAAATATTAATTCGTTTTGTTGAATAATCCAGTTTTGCAATAATTATGTGTCCGATTTGATTTAAAATGGATTCAGGAATTTTTTTATACTTTGGCAACTATGTCAACTTCCATTTCTGTCAATAATAATGACGTGCAACGGTAAGTAAATTAGATGGACTGTATGTATACTTAATCTAATTTACTTACCGTTGCACGGCATTATTATTGACAGAGATCGAAGTTGACATAGTTGCCAAAGTATAAAAAAATCCTAAATCCATTTTAAATCAAATAAGTCACATAATTATTGCAAAAGTATTACCATTTCTTTACAACGACTATTTAAATTCTTACGTGACATTTTTTAAATAAAACGCATTAATTTTGTTCTAAAAAGAACAGATTTTATTAAATAGGTAAAAATATAGAACAAGAGGTATTCACTTTAAAATTCAAAATAATAAAGTACAAAAAGTGTCAACACCGCAACTGTCCAAATAAGTGTTACCAATTTATGCCAAAATTTTACCTTCGTTCGATTACAGTTACAGTGTGTTCCGAGCAAATGTTCTTCAGAAAAACGCTTTATAATGCATTTATACAAATTAAATAAAACATATTTTTTTTTAAGAAAAAGTCGCATCCACCTTTTGGTTATTAGCGACGGATCTATACAATTTTACAATAATAGATATATTACATGGTTACAAAAAAAATCCTACAACATAGTACTAAAAAAGTCAGCAATTTTGTACAAAAAAAAAAAATAAATAAAGTCAAATCTTATGGAACACATTGATGGCTTTTAAATAATCTATTAAGTTCTTTGAGTATCTATTTTGACCTAGCACAACTGATAAGTTTGAATCTATATTATAAACAGATTGTTGATGTTTAAATTTGTCACATTCAAAGATATGCTTTACTGTTAAGGTTGAATTGCAGTGCTCGCATATTGGTGGATTGCATTTAGAAAAAAGATAAGAGTGTGTGAGTCTAGTAATGGCCTAGTCGTAATCGTTAAATACACTCTGTTCATGACAATTTTTGTAAAAAGATTTAGTTTCCTTTAACTGTATCTTTAATTTGTCGTAGTTTAGACGTTGATATTTGCCATTCGTTATGCCAGACTTCTAAGATTTTTGCCTTAATAGAAATCTTTAAGTCATCTGGACCGCACTTTAATATTATTTCTGATTCCGCACTAGACACTGCACTACGCGCACTTAAGTCTGCTTCTTCATTTCCAGGGATACCCACGTGAGAAGGAATCCATATGAAGTCAACCGTTCTTCCTTTTTCTTGACATGTGTGATATTGTTTTTTTCTTTAGTAAACATTAATAGAAATCTGTAAATATTATTTCTACGCGCATATAAAAAAATATGTCTAGTGGCTGTAATGCCAATGTACTCGGCAAAGTGATTCTATAAAAGAACAAACCTACCGCCTAAATATTTCGTGTTGGTATCATGTGACCTCACGGACTATGACGCGTAACGGTAAGTAAATTAGATGAAGTATATGAATACAGGTCCATGACCTACACTAATATTGCAAGACAATATTCTGCTATGTATATTTCTATAATGACAAACTATTATTTATTGATACCTATTCTAATATCGTCTTCGTATTTATATGTTTAGTTATACAAACAAGTGTGAGTTTTCAATGTTACCAGTTCATGTAGGTTCATTGTCATTTCAATTATAAATAATTCGTATACAGACTTATTCTTAAACCATAAGCCTTTATTTACTTTTAATGGTTAAGGGTTAAAACCTTGCTACACTGTGTAAGACAGACATAAAGTCAGAAAAAGGACAAGGAGAGACATCGTTGATATAATGATGAATTATAAAAGACTTTAAAAGGTTGCAAACGAAGCGAGGCCAATCACCAACAGAACACCCAAATGCTGATATGGAAGTTAGACATCAGAATTCCAACTTAGGCTACAACTTTGAACAAACAAGATATTGTCTTAAAATAAGAGTAACAGACAAAGTTTTTAAATATTAGTAAAGATATCCAGGAGTGCATTTTTGCTTTAAAATTTGGCTTCATGTATCGATTTAAATGATACACAACCTTGGGCTCTTTTTAGTTGTGTGTCTGTGTACTCATATGATGCTTCAAAGTACTTGCTTGGGAAAACAGCTTAAAACAAATTTCACACTTGTAAGGTTTATTGCCAGTGTGCACTCTCATATTGTAACGAATATATTTGCCTACCATAGGGTAAGATTATGGGGATGAAAATTGGGGACAGAAGTTACTGTCCGGACGATACTTGTGCGGACGGCACTCAGGGCCTGTTTGGAGAGCTGGGGTCGTGGATAAGTAAATGGCAAGGGGTTGAATTGGGGCAACTAAAAAAAAATTAAACCAAGGGGTACTTACATGAATCTTCTGGGACAAATGAACAAACAAAACAACAAGAAAAGACTCCTAGCTATTTAAGAAAAAAAAAGGACGCCGCTTCGAAGAATCCTTAACTTGCTAGATTTAGCAAAAAGGCTCTTCTTCTCTAAAATAAAGAAACACAAAAAAGGGTTAGGAGATTTTTCTAAAATAAAAAGACAAAATGGTTCAGAAAAATGAATTAAACATTTATTTTTCTCTCTACACAAACAGTTACATATAAAAATAATACAAAATATACTATATTAATAGTTTCAAAAGGTTTATATCAAAACAATAAGGAAAAAAACTTACATATGTCCTATCTGGTTCTATAAGATCAGTTTACAATTGGGAATTGCTACAAAACTTTCAAAATTATTACTGGACTATGAACTGTGGCAAAAATAACTTATTACAAATAAAAGATCACTTGAGGAAGGCACGCTTGCCGAAACAGCTGTACTGATAATAATTTAAAATAAATTTCCATCAAGTAACGGTCTAATCCATCACTTATTTAAAAGTTTCGAAGTATTAGTAAAAGTATAAAGGAGAGCATTTATTGCTTTAAAATTTATTAAGTCTGCAATTTTATAAGGCGATTTAACAGATATTTTTGAGAAAAGTACTTAAAACAAATCTCACATCCTTGGGGTTCTTTTAGCTGTGTGTACTCATATGTTGTTTCAAAGTACCTGGTTGGGTAAACCGCTTTAAACAAATTTCACACTTATAAGGCTTTTCTCCAGTGTGTACTCGCAAATGCTTTTTTAAAGAAATTGCTTGACTAAACCGCTTAAAACAAACTTCACAATGATAAGGCTTTTCCCCAGTGTGCACTCTCATATGTGTTTTCAAACTGGTTGCTTCGCTAAACTGCTTAAAACAAATTTCACACTTATAGGGCTTTTCTCCAGTGTGTACTCGCAAATGATTCTTCAATTTATCTGCTTTACTAAATTGCTTCGAACAAATTTCACACTTGAAAGGCTTTTCTCCAGTATGCACTCTTAAATGAATATTTAAAGAATATTTCCGAGAAAACTGCTTAAAACAAATTTCACATTTGTAAAGCCCTTCTTCAATCCGAACGATTGCATTTTTGTTTAAATTATTTATGCCTGAGACACTTTTAGAACAAGCAGTATCTTTTATTGTTGCTTCTTCATAGTTTAGACTTCGTTTAGGCAGAATAGTTCGTTGTTTTTTATTACATGAAAATGTAGGTAACATTTCATAATTTCCATTCTATTCGTCTGGGAAAACTCTAAAAAAAATATCTAGCGTAAGCAATATATTATGAAGAAATTGGCTTACAAAATAAGAGCTAAAGCTAGCAGTGACAATATGGGTGCCAGGTCATTAAGCGATTCATGGGAATTAACGAGCAGATGTGTCGACAAAACAAGGCTTAAAAGAAACCTTTGTGGGCCCAGAACTATTCTGTGGCATCACCAAGGATACTACAAAAAAGGAGATATAGAAATGGAGAAACCATCAAAAGAAATGAAAACCTACTGAAGGGCAAATAAAGACTAAGAAAATATTCAAGAATATAGTTTTAAAAACACTCAGATAATTGGATGAATCTCAATAAACACGAGAATTAAAAGATTAAGAAATACAAATAAGATTGAAAAAAAAAATGTAATATCAAATCTTTTGGAGAATTTATCATAAATATACCCTAAACTTTTAACAACCTCACCAGTGTATAAAAAAACCCTTTCTACTAAAACAGCGGTAAAAAAACCTATGCTGCTTCCCCCACGCATCAGATAAAAAGTCAGAAAAAGGGCATGGAGAGACCACATTGATAGAATGGTGATAAAAAACTTGCAAATATTGCAAACGAAGCGAGACCAGACACCAAGAGAACAACCAGAAGACCCCTCAAAGGCTGGTATGAAAGTTTGTCATCAAAATTTCTACTTGCGCGACAATTTTGAACACACAAAACATTGTAAAAATAAGGTAAAGAAATAATAATAAGACTTACTCACAATCAATTTAATTTAACAATCTGACGACCGGTTTCGCTTTCTACAATTTGCAAAGCATCTTCAGGTCGAGATACAAAGTTAAACTAATGCTGCAATAAAATAAACCCAATTAGGGTGGTGTCTCATAAAGATAAAATAAACAAATAAATTAGTTCATACAAATTATAGTAATTATGCCAATATTACATGTCTGTGGTTTTCAAAATGAATAATTTGAATATATAAAAGGTATTAACAGACAAGGTAAGACCCACAATTGGTATAAAGTAGCAATCTTATATTGTAATAAATTGATAAATGAGCAAATAAATAAAACAAAACAAACATGTAAGTAATGTTTGTTTTGTTTTATTTATTGCTCATTTATCAATTTATTACAATATAAGATTGCTACTTTATACCAATTGTGGGTCTTACCTTGTCTGTTAATACCTTTTATATATTCAAATTATTCATTTTGAAAACCACAGACATGTAATATTGGCATAATTACTATAATTTGTATGAACTAATTTATTTGTTTATTTTATCTTTATGAGACACCACCCTAATTGGGTTTATTTTATTGCAGCATTAGTTTAACTTTGTATCTCGACCTGAAGATGCTTTGCAAATTGTAGAAAGCGAAACCGGTCGTCAGATTGTTAAATTAAATTGATTGTGAGTAAGTCTTATTATTATTTCTTTACCTATTTGATATGGACTCACACAAGCAACACATTCATGATTTACAAAACATTGTATTTAAAATAAGATGAAAAAGTTTTCAAGTATTAGTAGAGGTATACAGGATTGAATTTTTGCTAGAAAATTAAACAAGTGTGCCATTTTATATGTCGATTTAAAAGATATTTTCGAGAAAAGTACTTAAAACAAATCTCACACCCTTGGGGTTCTTTTAGCTGTGTGTACTCATATGTTGTTTCAAAGTACCTAGTTGGGTAAACCGCTTAAATTTCACGCTTGTAAGGTTTTTTGTGCCGGTGTGCACCCTCATATGGATCTTTAAATTCGATGCTAGACGAAACTGCTTAAGGCCGATCCTCGCGATTCTGGGCATAGGTAAATTCCAATGTAAAAGTTTATATCAAATAACGCAAAAACTATGGCAGATATTGAGATGATTCTTTTTTTATATGGAAGGTCTAAAAAAGTTCTAGTGCACTATTTGGTTGTAAATTAATAAATTGTTTAAACAATATTTTTTTTTCAAATATTTTTGGTTAAAATAAACGAAAAAAATTTTTTTTTAAATAGGGCACTACAGAATTTGACCCACTTCCCGAATCTGTTTTTATTTTTAACATAAAGTGTAACACAAAGCAGCTATTTGATATAAACTTTTAAAAAATTTCAAATTTTTGCTAAACGCAATTTTCTCTCCGTCAGCACAGGGTGTCCTTGTCGGTAGCTTCTGGATTCTCGCCAGGTAGGTAAAACCCTCGGAGGAGGATAAATAAAGTTGAATAACATTATAAGGGCTTATTCCGACTTTTGACAAACCAGTGTGTTTATTGTATTTAAAATAGGAAATGTTATATAAATAAGCAGTAAGTACCTATGATTTTATTAAATTTTTATACGAATAGAAACATTTTCTGTTGATTTTCCATTTTCTTTCTAAATATTTATACTGTTTTTATAATAATACAATTGTTTCAGTATTTGCTTATATAATAATAATTTATTATATAGAAACAGCGTAGAGTTTTGGTCAATCATCCAGTACATTTTTTTTTGTATTTCAATCAGAATTATTATTTTCTTTTCTTCTTTACATGAGCTCAGAGTAATAACCAAATTTGCAGTATTTGAATATGAAATTTAATTATTTATATTTATTGGTTAGCAACCTACCAATCGTAAAATCAAATACTGCTCAAAAAAACAATGTACCGTCTCGGAACCGGATTGATACTATGAAGACGACTACGGCAAGAAATAAGGACAAGCGAAAAACATCCAAAACCCAGATGAGAATTACTTGGAATATCAGATCACTCAACTCAAGGGACCAAGAAATAACCCAAGTGTTGAAAGAGAAAGAAATAGACATTTGTGCTCTACAACAAACAAAAAATAAAGGAAAAGGTCAATCAAAATTAGGTGAATACATACTAATCTACAGTGGAGTAGCAAAAGAAAACAGGGCCAAAGAAGGTGTAGCCTTACTAATACACCAAAGGTATCAAAATTACATCAAAGAGTGTCAATACATATCAGAAAGAATAGTAACATCAAAGATAAGAATGGAGAAGGAAAACCTGAACATTATCGGAGTATACGGCCTAGAAAATAATAAGCCTCCAACAACAAGGGAAGTGTTTTACGACCAATTACAACAAGTAGTAGATCAAGTCAAAGAAAAGATGATAACTCACAGCTAATTTGATTATAATAATTAAGGAACCTCATTTTTTGCCATGTTAAGGAATGGGATTTGTATTTTTTGTTAAAAAATTTGCACAAACATTGTACCTCTACAGGACCTCCTACGAATTTTCAAAAATGTAGTTCAAATGGCGACTAGGAAGAACCTACAAATCCAAACCGAACAAGCAATTTCAAACTAATAAAATTTTCTATATCTCCGGATCTACTCAATGGATTTTGATCATTCTTATTTTTTTATTTTGTATGATCTATTTTTAATTTGTATGTAATTTCTACGTACATTAGGAATTAGTAATTTGTTTATATATTAATTCATTAATAAATAGTCTAGTTTGTTTAAACAATTCGTGCAAAACAATTTTCTTCCAAAAATCTATTTTTTTTAATACTCGTATCAATAATCATAGAAACAGTCGCGTTTTTTGCATTAAATTGTCAATAATTAAAAAACAGCTCCAAATTCAAGGCAAAAAAAGAAGTAGGTTTTCTTCCTAGAGGTCTACAATAACTAAAAAAGTTGTCAGCGACCTGGATTATTGAGTGTCACGTACATGGTCTATTTTTTGCTTATTTCCCTGGAGTATATATTTGATTAACATCTGTGTAATTTCTTTGTCGCTTCCTCGCTGGTTTTGTATATTGCTATGATAGCAATATCTTCGGTAAATGTTGCAATTGTATATTTTCTAGGACAATAATATAACACGTATACCAAAGGTAAAGACACTTCTTTGTGGCAGCCCTGCTGTAATATCTGTCAATTTCATGTATGTTTCTTCCTGTTTAATTCTGAAATATCTTTCCAAGATGCAGGAGTCAATTATTTGAGACTATCGTTTTGGTAAATGTAGTCTTAGTTTATAGTTATGGCGTCTTTGCCATACTTTATCATATACCTGAGTCACATCCTATTTTATTGATATATGGTTGAATGCTCCAATAAATGAACTTTAAAAAATGAAGGTAAATTTCGAGCACAAATTTAATAATCAAATCTTGCCCAAGTACTTTCGCTTTCTACAGCATCATCAGGGGCATCTGCGATTGCTGGATAGACCAAATTTGACGAAGTATGTCTAAAATGTTAATCACAAAAAACTTTTATCATCCATTAACTTCGAGTTTTTTATCGAAGTTTATTAATTTTCTTCATTTAAAAAAAACTTTTCTTGGCTTATTTCAGATTCCCCTGATGATGCTGTAGAAAGCGAAAGTACTTGGGCAAGATTTGATTATTACATTTGTGCTCGATATTTGCCTTAATTTTTCAACGTACATCCTAAAATGTCAAAATGTCCATCATATTATCCTTCATGATCCATATTTCACATCCATATAAATAGTTATACAGTATATTTCATCATCTTTTCGTATTGAAAGAGGCGTTCGGCAAGGAGACAACATGTCTCCTAAATTATTTACAACTTTGCTAGAATACGCTTGTAAAACAATAGATTGGAACGTAAAGGGCATCAATGTAGATGGAAAATGTTTAAATAACCTTAAATTTGCAGATGATATCGTTCTTATTGCAGACAGCTTTGATCAGGCACAGATAATGCTCCAAGAACTCCATACTGCCACAAAAAGAGTTGGTCTTAAAATAAATTTTTCAAAAACACAATTTATGACAAATTTAGTCCACAACAAAAACATCTCAGTAGAAGACAAAGATATTGAGCCAGTTGACTCCTATAAATACTTAGGCCATGAGATCAGAATAAGTCGAGACAACCAAACAATCGAGCTGAAAAGAAGAATAAACCTCGCTTGGGCTGCATTTGGAAGGATGAAGGATATTTTTAGGTCTAAGATTCCAATGTGTCTGAAAAGAAAAGTATTTAATCAATGTATTTTGCCAGTGATGACCTACGGCGCAGAAACCCTAACGCTCACAAGAACAACAGTGAGTAAACTACAAGTTGCGGAAAGAGCAATGGAGAGAATTATGTTAGGGATTTCTCTACGTGATAGAATACCCAATGCTACTATACGCAAAAGATCAGGAGTAGCAGACGTTATTGAAAGGATAACAACACTAAAGTGGAACTGGGCAGGTCATGTAAAAAATAAAATCGGACTAAGTGGAAGAGCATGCGAGAGGCCTATGTTCAGCAGTGGACGTTAGAGGCTAGTTGATGATGATGATGATATTTCATCATCATCATCATCATCATCAATGGCGCTACAACTCTTCGTAAGTCTTTGCCGCGGTTACTATTGCCTTCCATGTTTGTCGGTCCTGTGCCAGTAATTCCCATTGTCGCACTCCCATTTTCTCTACATCTAGGAGTATATTTACATATAACAAATTAAATTCTTAGTTGTAAATTTTTGAAATAAGTACTCAGTATACATCTAAGTTTTATAAATGCTCCTCATAAATCTCATAAATCTAAACTTTTGTACTCCGTTCTTTGTTGACAATTAGTTGCATAGGGCCGACGTTTACTAACCACAAGCACACAAGTAAATTATCTTATTTCTTTCATTTGACAATAATAATTGTCTGTTAGATTAGCACTGTAAGAAGTAAATTAGTCTCTTACTGAATGATAATAAACAACACATCAAACTTATTCTGAAACTATTTCTTGTGTCATGGTATATTTTATTAGATTTTGGTGTAATAAATCACAACCTATCAAATTCAATATCAAAAATCAAAATTGGAAATGATAGCGTGACTAAATTATTCCTTCATTCAAGAAATTTTAAAAAGAACTGATTTCTATTACTATTCAGTGCAAGGACAGTTATTTTGTTATTTATATCGAATAGAGAATACTGTTAGTTTGCGGTATGGACCCCAAAAAATATTTTATTCGAAAAGATTGATAAATATATAGAACTGTGGGAAAATATGCTACAAAAATTTCAAGATTTTTATTATAATTTTTATTTGAAACACCTTCTAAAGAAACATTAGACATAATTCTATATTTATAATATAGTTTCATTTTATCAATTTTAATGATCGTGATACTAATTAGATAAGATTTTTATTATAATTTTTATTTGAAACACCTTCTGAAGAAACATTAGACATAACTCTATATTTATATCGTTTCATTTTATCAATTTTAATGATCGTGATACTAATCAAATTTTTATGATATATAATAATAATCTTTTTTTTTTATAATTTTTATTTTCCGTAAACTTTAATCTACGTTAAACTTCAGACAGCCAATTTTTCCGTAAAAAAAATAACAAATAAATTATGTATGTACATTTGTTACATTGTAAATTTATGAATAGATTATATTACTTTGATCTGTTATTATGACCAAAAATGACGAAATCTTTCTGTCAACGATCTTTCTTATTTTTAGCCCCTAAAATATACAATCATATTCCCCCTGATATTAAAAATACGAAGAATGTCTTTCTCTTTAAAAATAAATTAAGATTATATCTCATGGAACAGACAAGACATTTTGTAATATCATTATAGTAGCATAAGTTATAAAGCCATATTCACTTAAACTTTCTTAAAGAAAAAACTTTAATTTTAAATCTACTCCTTGCAAAGATAATTAAAAAAAAAAAAAAAAATATATAACATATCGTGGTGTTTTTATTGTTTTATTTAATGTGTTTATCATATTTATATTGAAGCATGTGTGTTTACACTTTTGTCCTTTCAAAAATCTTGTTAACTAATTGATTCATACATAAGTGCTGTATTCATATCAAGGGTTTCTACTAAAATTTTAATTATAGTTATTTTATGATTCAAAAGCAGTATATATTATTGTATTGTATACATTGTATTGTTTATTTTATTTAGTATATTTACCAGAACATAATTTGTGTATTTGCAGATCTCGTTAAAAACTTATTAGTATCTAAGTTTAATTTTATTATACATTTTTGATTATTGTATCTAAATTTTCAATCTGCTTGTTTTTTATGGTTATATATATATTATGTATATATGTGTGTATATATGTGTGTATATGTATATATGTGTATATATGTGTGTATATGTATGTGTATATGTGTATATATGTATATATATATATGTGTGTATGTGTGTGTATGTATGTATATGTGTATATATGTGTATATATGTGTATATATGTATATGTATGTATATATGTGTATATATGTGTGTATATGTTTATACTTTAGTATATTATATTGTATTTTTATTTATTGTATGTTACATTTACCGAAACAGGTGTCCCCACACCTCTCGGAGACCTACGGGTTAATTTATTCACATATTGTTAATTATTGAAACAAATTTTGTATGATTGTTGAATAAATTATTATTATTATTATTATTATTATTATATTTACTCAAAATACCACTAAAGAGATTTATGGTCTTATTGTAAGACAAAACCTGTCACTGCAGGGGTTGTCTCGGTGTATAATCGGCTCGAGTAAAAGGTAAACGCATTTTTGACCTGGGCTTGAAAGAGATCTAAACGAAGTTTAGAATATTACTTCATGAACAGATTTTGTTTTCGTAAAGAAAGAAATTTTTGAAATAGAGATAGCAAACTGAAATTTACCGTTAGAATATTCGAGGATAAGCCTTAAAACACATTTCACACTTTACGATTTTTCTCTGGAATGCACTCTCAAATGTGTGTTTAAAATAGTTGCTTTTCTAAACTGCTTAAAACAAATTTCACACTTATAAGGATTTTCTCCAGTGTGTACTCGCAAATGCTTTTTCAAAGAAATTGCTTGACTAAACTGCTTAAAACAAACTTCACAATGATAAGGCTTTTCCCCATCGTGCACTCTCATATGTGTTTTCAAACTGCCTGCTTCGCTAAACTGCTTAAATCAAATTTCACACTTATAAGGGCTTTTCTCCAGAATGCACTCGCAAATGAATCTCCAATTTACCTGGTTTACTAAATTGCTTCGAACAAATTTCACATTTGTACAGCTTTTCTTCAGTATGTGATCTCATATGATATTTCAAACTAACTACGTTACAAAAAGGGATAAAACAAATTTCACACTTATAAAGTTTTTCTCCAGTGTGTAATCGCAAATGCTTTCTTAAAGAACTTCCTTTACTAAACTGCTTCAAACAAACTTCACAATGATAAGGTTTTTCCCCAGTGTGCACTCTCATATGTCTTTTCAAATTATTTCCTGCCGTAAATTGTTTAAAACAAATTTCACACTTGTATGGCTTTTCTCCAGAGTGTACTCGCAAATGCTTTTTCAAAGAAATTGCTTGACTAAACTGCTTAAAACAAACTTCACAATGATAAGGCTTTTCCCCAGTGTGCACTCTAAAATGTGTTTTTAAACTGCCCGGTTCTGTAAACTGCTTCAAAACAAACTTCACAATGATAAGGCTTTTCTCCAGTATGCACTCTTAAATGAATATTCAAAGAATATTTCCGAGAAAATTGCTTAAAACAAATTTCACATTTGTAAAGCCCTTCTTCAATCCGAACGATTGCATTTTTGTTTAAATTATTTATGCCTGAGACACTTTTAGAACAAGCAGTATCTTTTATTGTTGCTTCTTCATGGTTTAGACTTCGTTTAGGCTTAATAGTTCGTTGTTTTTTATTACATAAAAATGTAGGTAACATTTTCATAATTTCCATTCCATTCTTCTGGGAAAAATCTAAAATAAAAAATAGCTGGCGTAAGCAATACATTATGAAGAAATTGGCTTACAAAATAAGCACTAATCAGTTTAAGCACAACAAAGCTAGCAGTGACAATATGGGTGCCACTTCATTAAGCGATTCATGGGAATGAACGAGTAGATGTGTCGACAAAACAAGGTTCAAAAGAAAACCTTTGTGGGCCCAGAACTATTCTGTGGCATCACCAAGGATGCTACAAAAAAGGAGTTTTAGAAGTGGACAAACCATCAAAAGAAATGAAAAGATACTCAAGGGCAAATAAAGACTAAGAAAATATTCAAGAATATAGTTTAAAAAACACTCAGATAACTGGATCAATCTCAATAAACACGAGAATTAAAAGATCAAGAAATACAAAAAAAAAAGATTTGAAAGCAAATTATGTAATCTCAAATCGTTTATAGAATTTATCACAAATGTACCGTAACTTTTAACAACCGCACCAGTGTATAAAATACACCATTTCTACTAAAACAGCGATAAAAAAATCCATGCCGCTTCTCCCACGTATCAGATAAAAATACAGAAAAAAGGGCATGGAGAGACCACATTGATAGAAAGGGTGATAAAAGACTTACAAATATTGCAAACGAAGGGAGACCAGACACCAAGAGAACAACCAGAAGATCCCTCAAATGCTGAAATGAAAGATTGTCATCAAAATTTCTACTTACGCGACAATTTTGAACACACAAAACATTGTATTTAAATAAGAAGAAAAAGTTTTCAAGTATTAGTAGAGGTTTACAGGATTGAAGTTTTGCTAGAAAATTAAACAAGTGTGCCATTTTATATGTCGATTTAAAAGATATTTTCGAAAAAAGTACTTAAAACAAATCTCACACCCTTGGGGTTCTTTTAGCTGTGTGTACTCATATGTTGTTTCAAAGTACCTAGTTGGGTAAACCGCTTAAAACAAATTTCACACTTGTAAGGTTTTTTGTGCCGGTGTGCACCCTCATATGGATCTTTAAATTCGATGCTAGACGAAACTGCTTAAAGTATTAGTAAAGGTATACAGGACTGAATTTTTGCTGGAAAATTAAACAAGTGTGCCATTTAAACTGCAAACTGCTTAAAACAAATTTCACACTTGTATGGCTTTTCTTTAGTGTGTGATTTCATATGATATTTCAAACCGACTAGTTGAGAAAACTGGATAAAACAAATTTCACACTTGTAAGGCTTCTCTCCAGTATGCACTCTCAAATGCCTTTTTAAATTACTTGATACGCTAAACTGCTTAAAACAAATTTCACACTTATAAGGCTCTTCTCCAGTACGTAATCTCAAATGATTTTTCAAACTCCCTGATTCACTAAACTTTTTCTCAGTGTGAACTCTCAAATGCTTTTTCAAATTATTTGGTTCATGAAACTGCTTAAAACAAATTTCATACTTGTAAGGAATTTCTTCAGAGTGCACTCTAAAATGGATTTTTATGCTAGTTGTTTTACTAAAGTTCTTAAAACAAATTTCACACTTACAAGGCTCTTCTCCATTATGTACAGCAGGCGTAAGCAATATATTATGTAGAAATTCGCTTACAAAATAAGAGCTAATCAGTTTAAGCACAACAAATTTAGCAGTGACAATATGGGTGCGAGGTCATTATGTGCGATTCATGGGCATGAACGAGCAGATGTGTCGACAAAATAAGGCTCAAAAGAAACCTTCAGCTTGTAGCATCACCAAGGATGCTACAAGAAAAGGGGGTTTAGAAGTTTTCACCAGTGTGCACACTCGAATGTGTTTTTAAATAATCTGCATTACTAAACTGCTTAAAACAAATTTCACACGTGTATAGCCTTTTTCTAGTATGCATTCTAAAATGCGTTTTCAACTTGCTTGGTACGCTAAACTGCTTCAAACAAATCTCACACTTGTAAGGCTTTTCTTTAGTGTGTACTTTCAAATGTGTTTTCAAACTGCCTGCTACGCTAAACTGCTTAAAACAAATATTGCACTTGTAATGCTTTTCTCCAGTGTGCACTCTCAAATGCTTTTTCAAACTCCCTGCTTGACTAAACTGCTTAAAACAAACTTCACAATGATAAGGCTTTTCCCCAGTGTGCACTCTCATATGTGTTTTCAAATTGCCTGCTACGCTAAACTGCTTAAAACAAATTTCACACTTATAAGGCTCTTCCCCAGTATGTACTCTCAAATGATTTTTCAAACTGCCTGCTTCACTAAACTGCGTCAAACAAATATCACACTTGTAAGGCTTGTTTCCAGTATGCACTCTCAAATGCCTTTTCAAATTGCTTGCTACGCTAAACTGCTTAAAACAAATTTCACACTTGTAAGGCTTTTCTCCAGTATGCAATCTCAAATGTTTTTTCAAATTGCCTGCTAGGCAAAACTTCTTAAAACAAATTTCACACTTGTAATGCTTTTCTCCAGTGTGCACTTTAAAATGGATTTTTAAAGCACTTCGACGAGAAAACAGCTTAAAACAAATTTTACAGTTATAAAACCCTTCTTTAGTCTGAACGATTGTATTTTTGTTCAAATTATTTAGACCTGAGACATTTTTAGAACAAGCAGAATCTTTTAATGTTGCTTCTTCATTGTTTAGACTTCGTGAAAATGTAGGTAACATTTTCATAATATCCATTCTGTTCTTCTGGGAAAAATCTAAAATAAAAAATAGCTGGCGTAAGCAATATATTATGCAAAAATTCGCTTACAAAATAAGAGCTAATCAGTTTAAGCACAACAAATTTAGCAGCGTCAATATGGGTGCCAGGTAACGAGCAGATGTGCCGACAAAACAAGGCTCAAAAGAAACCTTTGTAGGCCCAGAACTACTGTGGCATCACCAAGGATGCTACAAAAAAAGGAGGTTTAGAAATGGAGAAACCATCAAAAGAAATGAAAAGCCACTCAAGGGCAAATAAAGACTCAGAAAATATTCAAGAATATTTAGCTCTCAAAAGCTCCGTTCTCTTTCTGAGATAATAATCCTTCCTGCAGACAAAGGTAATGCCACAGTCATCCTGGATACTCCTTCCTACATAGAGAAAGTAAACGACTTATTAGGGATACATCCTGTTATAATACAATTTCTCGAGACCCCACTCCTAGAGTCGAACGCGAAATTTCTCATGCCATCAAACAATCCGATCTTTCCGATGATGTTAAGAAGTCCATAGTTCCGAAAAACTCCATCTGCCCCAGAATTTACGGTCTTCCCAAAATCCATAAAGACAACGTACCTCTTCGTCCCATTGTGACTACGATTAACTCTCCTACCTACAAACTCGCAAAGTACTTGTCGAATCAGTTTAAGACCTATACTGGTCGTACCTCTTCTTATGTCCGAAATTCCACACATTTCATCACCTTAATCTCCTCCCTCACGGTCGATCCCCAAGACATTCTCGTCAGTTTCGATGTATCATCCCTATTTACCAATATCCCCATACATGACTCTCTAGTTGTTCTGCGAGATCACTTGACCAATGATAACAAGTCTTTGGTTTTGGCAGATCTTGCGGAAAAATGCCTCCTTTCAACATATTTTTCTTTTAGAGGCAATTTCTAGAAACAAATATCTGGAACACCAATGGGTTCTCCCCTTTCCCCTGTCATTGCTGACATTTTCATGGAAGCCTTTGAGTCTTTAGCCCTAGAATCTTACCCCTTAAAACCAAAAGTCTGGTTCCGCTACGTTGATGATACATTTATCATCTGGCCCCATGGTCAACATACCCTTTCTCCCTTCCTAGATCATCTGAACTCACACCATCCGAGTATAAAATTCACAATGGAAGTAGAAAATAATCGGTCCCTTCCCTTTCTCGATGTGTTAGTCACCTCCAAGCCCAATGGCCGATTGGGTCACTCTGTTTATAGAAAAAAGACTCACACGAATCGTTACCTACATGCTTCATCACACCACCATCCTGCCCAAAAGAATTCTGTGATCAACTCTCTCATCCATCGGGCCATTTCAATTTCTGAACCCGACAACCTTAGAGAAGAACTTGGCCATCTGCAAAAAACCCTTGTCGCCAACGGTTACTCCAAGTCCACAATTCAAAATATTACACACCGACATCTACATCCCCCTTTACACCCTAGGACGACAAATTCAGAATCTTCGGGTAATACTCCTGTGGCTTTTCTTCCGTATATTCGAAATGTCACTGATAGGATTGGCAAAATTCTTCGCAAAGAAGGTATCAGGACTACTTTTCGACCACCCAAGAAAATCTCACAATATCTACCCTCTCCTAAAGACCCATTACCGCCCCTATCTTCCTGTGGTGTCTATTCTATTCCTTGTTCATGTGGACATGTGTATATTGGCGAAACTGGTCGTTCCGTCAAAACTCGGATTCAAGAGCATCAAAGATGCATTCGATCAGGTCTTTTCTCCCATTCTGCAGTTGCAGAACACTGCCAAGAAACCGGTCATTCCATATTGTTCGAAAAAACCCATATTATTTCTAAGAGCCCCTTCTTTTATTCCAGGAAAATCCGCGAATCTCTAGAGATCCGAAAAAATCCACATAACATCAATCGAGAGGAAGGATACTACTTGTCTCCCATCTGGAATCTCAGTTAGAGCCTCCGTCCGGTCCCGCTACCACGATGCAGCCACATGATTGGCCAGCGCGCGCTTCTTGACGTTCGCGCCACGAAGTGTGCCGATACGTCCCGACACGACAGGTCACCGCGACTATAAATAGAGCGGTAGCGGAGTAATCGTCGGATTCACTCCCCGCCTCTCGACGCGTTAGTGTTCTGAGCTGTTGGACGTGAATCCCTGTCCTGGCATTTGGTTTTCACCTCTGGCTGCGTTGAGTAGTTGAGTTACTGTGACCAAATGCCCATCTTGGTAGTTAGTATTCGCCTCTGGTTGCGTTGAGTAACTGAGTTACCGTTGCTAACTACCCATCTTCCTGTCTTTTGTTTTCTTTTTCTTTTTTGTTCTCCTGAAGAAGCTACATACAATTGTAGCGAA